TTTCGATATATTTTAAGAACCTAACTTCTCCAGTTTCATACAATAAGCAAATCATTCACTAAAAGGTCTTTAAAGTACTCATAAGTAAACTCTATAATCTTTGAATTATTAAAAAGCGTAAAAAAAATCTAGAAAGTCTTTCAAATTTTAGAAAGTAATATTTGCGAATATTAGAATGAATCTACTAAAAATGTTGTAAAATTGCTGTTGGAAAAAAAATTTTTTAGAACTAATTTCTTTTCTTTGGGGCGTAAATATTTTTCTTTATCTTAAATACTTAAGGATATGAAATTTTCACATTTTTGCAGAGGTAGAAAGAAACTTAATAACGTACATTTTGTTTTTTATAACTAAAGCCTCCGGGAAACATTTTAAATGTTTTTTACTTTAAATTTTTAATTTCACTTCTAATACCGCAACGAGTAAAAAGGAACTTTTTTTGTGAGTATTTTCTGATTTTAACTACTCCTTATAACAGATAAGTAGTTATAAAACAATTTTCGGACGACCTTTAAATTTTTTTAAAGTGTAGGCGGCCCACCGTAGGAGATCGTGAAGATAAACTATTATGACACGTAATACTTAAAGTACAGCCGGCTTGAAGATGATGACTGACAGAGACGAGTTATATAGGTAAAGTTATCTGTAGTTTTAAAAGGGAAGATAAGGAAATATAAAGATAAAATTAGGATCTAAACATACAAAATTAATTATGGGTTAGTGCCATAATTGATTTCTAGCTTAGCAAAGTAATTATATGTTTTTTTAAGTAAAACTTTTTTATAGTTGACTTTAAAACTTCAAAATATGTGTAAAAGTTTTTTAAAAACTTATTTTTAATTTTTGAGTAATCACGAATGCATTAAAGTTAAACTTTTACCTAAAGAAGTTGAAGATATATCATAAAAACTGGTATAATGGAATATTTACTTTTTGAAAAACTTTTAAGTAATATTATCCACAAAATAATATTTAAAAGCAGTGAATATATATTTTTTACCAAGCCAAGAGATTTTGTTCTTTTGTAATCCTTTAAAATAATTAATATACCTTTCAGCGAGATCAACTTTATCTTGAAGGTACATTTCCTACGGATATAATCTTACTTGCCTTACTTTTTTTTTCGATCAACTTTAGTAGCCTTTTCTAGGGTGGTAGTTAGTTACTCTCCTTTTACTAAAGGAGAAGAAGTTTACTTTGTGATTCGTAGAGAGCATTAAGTAGATATCTTTATAGGTTCAATCTGACATAGTCTTTGGAACACGATATAAGGCTTAAAACTATGGAGTAATTCCTATTTACTTGTCTCTGAATCGAACTAACCCGGAAAGTAATAAGAAATAGGCTTAGTACTGATGAAAGAACGGGCCCCAGCTAATGGCTTAGGTGAAAAAGTTTTGCTCGTGTTCCTAGCGTGTTCTGAGAATGGTCGCCTTTTTATATAGGTCTAGTCAAATGAAGATAGAACACCGATAGCCTAAAATACTGTGAAGGAAATTTGAAAAAAGACCCTTCTTACGGGAGTGAAATGGAGCATGAAACTTAATGTTAAGGCGTATAATTGTATAGTACCTTCTGCATGATGAGTCAGCGAATTATCGAAGAAGCTAAGAACAAAATCTAAAGGAAACCAAGTCACTAGCACCAGTATACTTCAATAGACTCGAAGCTTTCTGACCTTTTTCTTCGGCTGCTTAAATGAGGGCTAATTTACTGTTGTAGCAAGGACTTGTAGTAACTGGGATAAAGCAGTGAGATACCAACCTTAGGAGGTAGTAGCTAGTTCCTAACTAAACTTATTTTAGTAAAGTGTTACCTTGAACATGGCAAGTAAATCACTGATGCTGCTCAATTTGATAACCTGTTTGTTATCGGGTAAACAGAAGGCCTATTATATTGAGATGGTAAACATGGACTCAGATTTGTAGCTAAAGTTACTACTAAGACAAGCTTTTGAAAACTTCGCTAAATTAAAGATTAAAGCCACCAAAGCCTGGAAACAACTATTGTTTAAAGAAAACGCAACAGTTTAGCTTTATAAATAATAGGTTGAAAGATAACCAAAATAAGTTTATGCACTGATCCTCAAATTTTTGATGACAACGGTAATTAGGCGTAGAAATAATCCTAAGATCAAAAAGGAGCTTCTAGTGACAATGCTGGTTTTAGTAAAACGATAACATCGCCGATAAATCTAGATTTCCGTGAGAACAAAATCAGGCAGTGGCTAAGATGTCCTACCGAAGCAGAAATAATCCTGCTTAAAGAAGAACAAACAGGAAAATATATGGAATCTAACTGCACTAAATCTGACTCTAGTAATTCGCCTTAACCAAGGTTAGTTGTTAAGTTAGCAAATGTTAAGGAATTCGACAAAAGAGTGAAGTATTTTCTCTATAATCTAAGACATTAGGCATACTGAACAGGTTTCACTCACTTTTTACCAAAGAATAAGCTTTATCTTTATTATATCGTTCATTAATAAATGAAAAAACACAAAAACTTTAAAAAAGCTTAAAGGAATATACTTAATTTACTTACAACCAAGTAATATGCAATAGGAATAGTATTAGAATGAAGTTTACACGCACTAGCATAGTTCGTTTTATGTATTTCTTAATAAAGAAGCAAAGCTAGTGCGGTATTCACTCTCGACTGAGTGCTTTTTAAAGTAAATCCTAAAGACTACAGAGCACAAAGTGTGAAAAGAGGACACTTTTTAGTTACTAGGAAAAGATGATTCCTTCTTCAGAAAAACGAGAACTTTCTGATATACTTAAAAATCTTTAAACTTTTGTGTAACGCCTTGGTAAGGTGGAATATAAAAGGGTTAGTGTTTCTTCACGACACTCCCCTTATAATAAATTAGTAACACGTTGAACCCAACTGTCCAGTATAACCTTGTATAATTTTTTTGTTACCAGGTTGAAAAAATATATATATTCTTTTACGGCAAGGATTACAGATCTGGGAGAAAAAAGTCAGCGTATTGCTTACCATTTTGACAATAAGGTTATGGGACTATGTTAGGGAAGACCGAAAACAATAAGGTAATTATCGACGGGAAACAACAAGTATTATCGTGATTTTTCGGAAAAAGATTGTAAAATTTCATAAAAAAAGGTGAAGACTTATTAAACTTTCGTTAAGATTAACAGACAAAGTAAGAATCAAATTTTTTTTAATTTTGTGTGCTGGGCATAAAATCAAGTAAACAAGTTCATATGAGGACATCCGATATCAAAAACCACAGGATCCTTTTTTTTATATGAACCGGACAAAACGGCTGTGGACCTAAAGATTAATTTTTCACATTCGAAAGCAACATCAGAAGACGAGCGAAAGTACTGGCTTGGAGTGTTCACGAGTAAGGTATTCTTGTAAGTCTCGAATACTTGAAATAAAAGCAAAAATGCTGCTAGTAAGCGAAACAGTCAGGGATCTATATTCTAACACAGAGAACAGTTTTGTTCTTACGATTTTCAATATTTATCCAATCGAACGCGAAGCTTCGGGAGCTTTAGAAGATCAATGAAGAGCTTTAAATTTCTACTCAAAAAGTACTTCAAAAAAGCCAAGATAATATTGAGTAAAAGCCGCCTTATTATAACCGGAGATCTTGGCAATAAGATTTAATTTTGTTGTACAACAAAAGTAAGCTGACGTTAAATTGTAGTACAATTCTAAATAATGCACCCTGCCTAATTTAAAAAAATTTTTTTTTTTCCAGTTATGTGGAGTTCTACTAATAAAAATCTCAATATTAATAATTCCGTATACATCCAATACTTGGCATTTGAAACAATATTCGAGCTTCATGAACTTTTTCTTTTGTTTGTCGTAGGTTTAAAAAGTTTCTCGTTTTTTATGTATTTTTACATTAATTTACTTTTTAAGTTTTTTTAATATGTATAATAAAACCGGTGACTCAATTAAAATTATAACAAATATTCTTTCATTACTTTCTTTGCAACATTCAAGGCCTTGCTATTTGGATCATCGCACCTGCTAATAAATTGACACCCACTAAATTTAAAAAGTTAGCTTCATATATTTATAACTAAATCCTCCAATAATGTGGTTTCCAAAAACTTCTAAAGCTTTTAATACAATCAAAATTTCCAATAATATGCGCAAGTATAGTACCTATAAATTAAAATTTTAAAAATTAACAAATAGGTACACTAGAGATTTTCTAAATAAAAAAATACTGAATCATAGTACTTATCATTGTCATATAGACTTTCAAATACTCTTTCCGTTTCTTTAAATCTTTCTTTATAGCATGCCATGCAAGAAAATAAATCATGCTTACTTCTTTGAAGTACCAATTGCAAATATACAAATTTAATAATAAATTTTCTTTTAACTTAAAAATCTTAAGTGCTAATATACTCAACTATAAGATTTAACAATTGCATATCTGATAACTTCTTAATCTTTAATGCTGATTCATATGTTTAGGGTGTATGTTTTTATAAAGTAAAGAATTAATAAAAAAAATTGGAGCAGCTCTGAATTGGAACTACCACGAGCACGAGACATAGTCAAGTTGTAAAGTAGTACGTGCTCTAACCATGTGGTATAATAGCACAAGGTTGGAACACGTGATTCTCGCACGTTGGGGTGTAACACTTGTTACGACCACGTGGTGGCACATAGTTCTGTAAAACGCATTATGAGCACGTGATTTTTATGTTGATTCGTACACCATTCGTAGGCTGCGCTTGTTCCGCTCTTACTTGTTTATTAATTGGTTAATATCACCAAAAAAATTGTACTTCTATTAAATGGTTTTTTATTCGCAAGAAGTTCCTTAAAAAAAATGGTAACTCACGTTTTGAGTAAAGTTTCTGTTAATAAAAAACTGTGACGCTTAGCAAAAACGCAACAATTTCAGGGCAGGAGTCGCTGAACATTCATAGAAAAATTGCGAGTACGATACAAACCAATTATAAATAATAATATTCTACTAAACTTTTATTAATACAAATGAATTATTAAAGTATATCCTCAAGATATTTCTCCTGAATTTCTAAATCTAAATACAATAAAAAGGTATAATAGTAATAACAATAATAATAATGATAATAATAATAATAGTAATATTATTATTCATAATAATTGTAATAATAATAAAAATATTAATAAAAATATTAATAAATATAATAAACCTCTTAATACGTCCAAATACTCGCTTGCAGCTACTTTAAAAATAGCCATATTATTATTTTCTAAAGCACCGAAAACATATCCATTTGCTTTATCAACGGATCTCAAAACGCAAAGCATCGTTTCTTTATCCTAAAAAAATAATAATATTATAACAAAGTAAAAAAAAAAATTCTAAATAATTATATATAAGTTTTCAAAAAAAAAGAAAAAGAATGAGTAAGAATTTTAATAATAATAAATAATAATTACTAAGTAAAAAAAATAAGGAAATATAAAACTAAATACAAAAAAAATATTATAAATAATTATAAACAGTATTAATAAATAATAATAATACTAAGTAAAAAAAAATAAGGCAATATTATACTAAATACTTACGAAAATTTTTTTTATGTAATTAATAAGTTTTGAAAAAAAGAAATAGTAAGCAAAATAATAAAGTAAAAAATACATGATATTAAGTAAATTAATAGAATATAATGAAAATAGAAAACAGTAATACATATACTAATAAATAATAATAATATGAATATCAACATGTAAAAAATAGAGGTAAAAATGAAAATAATACTCAATAATTGAACAAAAATGGTAATTAACTATAAAATATTATAAAGAAAAAATAAAAAATAAAAAGTCATTATAAAAGTAAAATATAAATTAATATTCAACAATAATAATATATATAAAATTAAAAATATAAACATAAAAATAACAAGAATAATATAAAAATAATAATAATAAACAATTAGAAAAAAATAAACTTCAATCATTAGCGGGATGAAATTCACGAGCCCGAAATTTTCAATAATTTCACAAATTTTAGTATTCAAACTTTCGAATCGTGAAAAAAAGAAGTCATTTGAAAGACAAGAAAGTAAATACTTCAAGTCCATAACTTCAGTGTAATAATCAAGATTAAAGTCTAATAATATTGATGATAATAAGAAAATAATATTAATATATATACAATAACCATCATGATAAATAAACCAATCAAAAACGAAATAAATTACCAATCACAAACATACTAATAATTATAAATAAAAATGTATTTTATATCTACTTATAGACCAATCAGACCAATCATCAAAAAGAAATTTTAAATTAATAAATATATAATTAATAATTAATAAAATAACTGAAAAAAAAATAAATAGGGAATTAAAAAAATTATAAGATAAATATATAATTAATAGTTATGAATAATAAAAAAATAAAAGTAAATGTGTAAAAAAATAATGAATACTTTAATAATAAATAATACCAACTAAATAAAGGTGTAAAGATATATAATATTTTAAAGCAATAATAATAATCAATCAAAAAGAAACTATATAACCAATCAGAAATTGAAGATAAATGTATAATGAATAATTATTAAATAACAAAAAATTAAAATAAATTTAAAGCAAAGCGTATAAATAAATCCAAAATATAACAAGCATTTATTTAACTTTATATAAAGAAGAAAAATTAAAAATAATGAAATAAATGCGTAAATATATATAATGAATTGATAATGTACCAACCAAAACTTTAATAAATAAATAAAAAATAATTAAATAAAGAAAGTAATAAAGAACCAATCAAAATATCATAAATAAATAAAAATAAATCAAACAATAAAGAATAAACAATCCAATGAATATAGTAGTACAACAGTATATTAAGTAAAAAAAATATTGAAAAATAAATATACAATCAATAAAAATAATGAAAAATATAAATATAATGTATTATTTAAAAAAAATATACATAAAAAATTATATTTCAGCATGAAAAGGACTTAAAGAGTTCATTATTTTTTTAAATAAACGAATAATAGAGTACTAAAGAGATTTAAAAAAATTTATAAGTAAATTTTTAAATAAACTAAATCAATAATAAATATTGTACCAAGCAAGTCAAGTAGTTGGTAGAAAACATAATAATTATAAAAGAAATAATAATAAAAAGTTTCATTCAACTTATAAAACTTCATTAAAATAAATAAAAAAGAAAAGATACTTTCATCCATTGAATTTCATATGAAAAATAATAAAATTAATATACAAAAAAAAAATAATAATAAAAAATTCTTTTATAAAACTTCTAATAAAGTAAAAAAACAAAATAAGAAATAATAATAAAAAGTATTAGATAATAATATATAAGAAAAAAAACGTCTTTCGATGTCCATCAAATAAAGAAATATAAATAAATAAATAATTTTATTCATCAAACTTCATATAAAAAAAAAAATTAAAAAAAATAATAAAAACGTAAAAAAAGTTTTACCGAACGTACCTAAATTTATATAAAAAAATATAAAAATAAAAAAATTATTTATTTGCCATAAAAAAAGTATTAAATAGATAAATATGTCGATTTTCGTATACAAAAAATATATATTTACTTAAAAATAGTAGAAATTTTATTAAAAAATTTGTGCCCAACCTTATAACCTCATACAAAAAATATGTGATTCATATTAAAAAAGTATAAAAATAAAAAAATTATTAAATCTCATGAAAAAAATATCAAAAAAATTACCTTAATGCTCCTATAAACCTATCGATTTTCATATATATAAAAATATATTTAGAAAAAAAATTAATGAAAAAAGTTGTGCCCAACTTTTTAATTACAAACAAAAAATATGATATAAAAAATTTTTTAAGAAAACATATCAGATTTCATAAAAACTTTTGATTAATAAAAGTGAGCTAAACATTTATTCTTAACGTAACTATAAAGAAAAGATCCTAAAAAATATATATTAATTTTTCATTAAAGAATTGTACCCAACATATAGAAATTCATCCAAATATGAATATAAAAAAATTATTAAATAGAAAAAAATAACTTTTCATTATAAAATTGTACGAAACTTAAAGAAATTCTTATAAATAACTAAAAAAATAATAAATTTTCATTAAAAAAGTCGTACCCGATATATAAAAATTCATATGAATATATATAAAAAAGATTTATAAATAAAAATAATCACTTTTCATTATAGAAGTTGTACCCAACTTACAAAAATTCATATGGATACATATATAAAAAAGATTTCTAAATAAAATATAAAAATTTTTCATTAAAAGAATTGTATCCCACATATTAAAATTAATATAAATCTATAAAAAAAAAGATTTCTCAATAAAAATAATAACTTATAAAAAAAAAATTGTACCCAACATATAAAAATTCATATAAATATATAAAAAAGTAATTCTAAATAATATATAATAACTTTTCATTTATATAACTGTACCCAAATTAGTGAACTTTATATTAATATATAATTTATAGTATTCATTAAAAAAAATAATTGTACCAAACTTACCAAATTCCATAAAAATAAAAAAATTATAAATTAATAATTAACACTTTTCATTAAAAATAGTGTACTTAACATAGAAATCATGTATATGTAATACAAAGCATTTAAAAATTTATAATCAACTTTTCATTAGAGAAATTGAACCCAACTTATCAAATTCCACAAAAAAGAACTGAGTCTTAAAAAAATTAAATATAAAAAATGTCAAACATCAAACTTCATATAAATATAAATATTTAAACTAGTCATTAAAAAAATTCTGTTCAATAATCAAATTTCATATAAACATAAAATATTAAAGAAAATAAAACTATCAAACATCAAACTTTGTATATATATAAAAAAACTTTTCATTAAAATAAGGGTACCCAACTCGTCGTACTTTTCTATTAAATCAATTTTGGAGAGAACGTTCACGTGGGGCAGCTCGACTTGGAGCATTGCCGATAGAGAAGTGAGAAGAACTGATATAAACTTTGAAGGATCCGTACAATAATGAGAATCCACGAGATGAACAGCGCATAACTTTAATAATAACGATGAATAAATGTATAATAATAATTAAAAATTAATGATAAACAATAAATAACTTTTCAAACAAAACTAAACAATAAAATAGAAATATTACAATATATAAATATTAATAGTATTATATTATATATATAAATAATATATAAATAATATAATAAAAACTAAAAGATTAACAATAATTACATAAAAGTAAATACAAATAATAAAAAAATAAAAATGATAATAAAATGTAAATTGAAAATTAATAATAATATAAATTAAGTAAGAAGTTATAATAAATAATAATAATAGTAATTATAAGCATAATTAAATAACAATATAAATAGAAAAATAATTCATAAAGAATTATAATAATTTTTAACAATAAAATAAAAAAATAATTTAAAATTATTCCAATGAAAATATTATAATAAAAAAATAATAACAAAAAATAAAGGACACAAAATAATGATAAATTATAATAAAGAAATGAAATATATAAAGTAATCATAATAAAAATATTTAATAATTAATATTATAAGAAAATAATAATTAATAAATATAATAAATACACAAATTAAATAATTTGATTATTAAAAAATATATATATATCAAAAAAATAATAATAATATAATGCAACTATGAAAATATATAAAAGACAAAAAAGTTATTATAATTATTATTAATTAATAAAGTAAAACATAATAGAAAATAATATAATGATATATTATATAAATAAAGAAAATAAATATTATTTTAATAGATATACATATCAAAATATAAATATTATAATACTAAATTATAACAAATATAGAAAATAAATATGAATATAATAAAAGTAAGCAATATAGAAAATATTATAATACTTAAACATAATATTGGAATTAAAAGTAAATAAAATATATAATAAAAAATTACAATAAACGAATATAATAAATATTAGCATAGTAAAATTAAACAAAATAAAAAAAATTATAATACAAAACTATAATAAATATAAGAATAATAAAAGTGAACAAATAAAAAAATATTATTATACAAAATTATAATAAATAAAAAAGTAAATACTAAAAAATATAATCCAAAATATATAATAAATAAAAAAATAAATATTATAAGAATTGAAATAAATATAAAAAATGTAAAGATAAATAATTAATAAATAAAATAACTGTTCAAATCAATAAATAGCATAATAAAAAATAATAGTACAATAAATATCCCTTTCAATAAATATAATAATAATAATAAATGGAATAAATATCATATAAATAAATATTATTAAAAAAATGCAACGAAAATAATATCAAAATATTTCATAAGGAACTCGGAAATTCCACTTCAGCAACAGTTGAAAAATATTCTTTACTGAGTGATGGTGAGTGTAAAGTTCTATTTGGCCAGGACAGTCAAAAAGTATATACTTTTCTGTACATAAAAAGAATTGGTTTCTTAAAAAATAAAAAAATAATAATGAAAGTTATGAAAGTCATTTATTTTTGTCTCCGATTTTTTTTTTATATTAAAAAAAAGAAATATTCTATTTTTTGTTATTATTTTAAAAAAATTAATAAAAAAGTATATACTTTTCTGTATGAAAAAAAAATTTTGTTGCATAAAAAATAATACTGAAAATTATTTATACTTCATTAAATTTTTATATTAAAAAATGAAATATTAATCTTTTACTATTATAAAAAAAAGTTATGAAAAAATATACACTTTTCTGTGAAAAAAAAGTTCGGTTTTATAAAAACTAATAATAAAAGTTATTAATTTATATTTATTTTACTCTTTTATTATTAAAAAATGAAGTTTACTTTAAATACATATACTTTTCTATATAAAGAAATTTAGTTTTACAGAAAATAATAATGAAAGTTATTAATTTTTATTTAATATATATTTTTATATAATATAAAATGAAGTTCACTTTAAATATAAATATACTTTTCTGATAAAGAAAGTTTAGTTTTATATAAAAATAAAAGTTATTTACTTTGATTTATCTTATTTTTTAAATTAGAATATAAAAATATATAAAAAGGTTTAGCGTTATAAAAGATAAAAAAAGTTAGTTATTGTTATAAGTACTAAAAAAATTAAACTTAATAATAAAACTATAAAAAAGATTATTTTCTATATATAAAAATATGAAAAAAGTAAAACTCCCTTATAACACGCTAAGAAAAAGTATATATTTTTTCTAAAAAAAGACAAACTTTATTATATAGTAATAAGAAAAAAATGATTTTTGATATAAAAACATAGGAAAAGTTAAACTTAATTATAAAACTCTAAAATAAGTTTTATTCCTAATATAAATATAAAAAATTAAACTTTCTTACAAAATAATAAGAAAAATTATTATTTTTATTAAAAATATAAAATAATTAAAAATAAATATATATAATATATAAAAAAAGCTAAACTTATTTATAAAACTATATAAAAATTTATTAACTTTTTTTAAAATATGGAAAATGTTAAACTTTATAATAAAAAAGTTGAAGTTTATCAAAAATAAAACTGTAAAAATATTAATTTTACATAAAAATATATATTAATACTGAAAAATATTATCTTTATATAAAAAATTAAGAACAGTTAAACTTTATTTTTATAAAAAATATAAAAAGTAAAACTTTATTCTGTTTACTTTTTAATGATACTAATAAAAAAAAAAAATTTCCATAATTATAAAATAATAAAAGTTATTTAATTTTTGTTTACTTTATTTATTTATTAAAAGTTAAAAAGGTTTCTGTAATAGTTTTTTTTTTCTAATTTATTTATTATCAAATTTAAACAAAATTACATTAAACAATTATAACAATAACTTCTTTAAATAAAAAATGAATAAAATACTTCAAATATTTATAAATAATAATAAACATTATAATTAATAATTATATTATTTTTTATATAAAAAAATGTTTTACTTTAATAATTAATTTTTTATATCAAAATTTAAAAATTATATCTTTAAATATTTATAAAATAATAAAAGTTATAATTAATATTTCCTTTTTTATAATAATAAAAAATAATAAACTGTAAATATTTATAATAAAAGTTTTTTTTTTGATTTTCGGTTATTTCATTTTTTTTTTTAATTAAAAATTTTAACTTAATTTTCTAAAAAAAAAAAATTAACTTAAAATATTTATAAAATAAAAATAATAGTTTTTTACTTCCGTTTAACTTTCATATAAAAATTTAATATAAAAAAGTTTACTCTAGATATTTTTTAATAAAAAATTTTTATATTAAAAAATAAAAACTTTAAATATTTTTAAATCAAGGATAAAACTATTAAATTTTCGTTTTTCTTAATTTTTTTAAAAACTTAAAAATTAAACTTTTATATTTCTTAAATAGTTATAAATTTCTAAAAATTGATAATAATAATAATAATAGCTTTACTTTAAATAATTTATTTACCAAAAGTTATTATATATAAAAAAAATAAACCAGATTACTATACAATAATTATATACACGATTTATTTTAGTAAATTAAAATTTTTTTTTGTATAAATTTATTATATTAAACTTGAAATAAAATACTAATAAAAGTTATACATTTCCATTTATTTTATTTTTTTTAGTATTTATTATAATAAAAATTTTTCTTTATATATAATATCTAAAAAAAAAGTCATTTATTTGTTTATATTACTATTTTATTATTTCATATATATATATATATATATATATATACATAAAGTTCGTTACTAATATTCTTTAAAAAAAAAGTTCAATAACTTTTTATAATAAACTAGTAAGAGTGATACTATTTTTTTTATTTTTTTATATATATAAAGATATATAAAAGTTTTATGATTGTTTACTATAAGTTTAATAAATATTTATATTAATACTTTTATTATTATATTACAAAAGAGTTTTTTATTATTTAGGGTTTTCAAAAGTTCAGTTTTCATTTTATAACCAAAAGATGTTTATTTTTTTTTGTAGAAAAAAAATAAAACTTTTCGTATATACATAATATGTATAAATTTTTGTAATAAATACTAATAAAAAATTCTAAAAAATGTATTGTAAAAATAATTATAATTTAAAAAAAATTATCACGTTTTAATAAAATAATTATAAATAAATAAAAAAATATATTTAATTATAAAATTATAAAAAAATAATAATTATAATAATAATATCTAAAAAAAAAATTATAATAAGAATTATTATTAAAAAATTATTTAAAATTATAATAAAAAAATTCTTAATAAATAAAAAAGATAATAAAAGTATATATAATTATAAAATAATAATAATAAAATAAATGTATTTTTATAAATTAATAATTAAATTATTAGAATCATATATTATAATAATAATGATAATAGTTAAATAAGGAAATAACTCTGAATAAATAAAAAAATATATATAGTTATAAAATTATAAAAAAGAATAATAATAATAAAGTAAATATAAAGGTTAATTATTAGTAATGTTAATATTATAATAATAACACAAAACATAATTTCTATATAAAACACTTATTATTATTAAACAATATACACAACGATATAACCAAATAGTTCTTAATAAATAAAAATATATATAAATTTTTAAGTTATAAAAAAAAGTAATAATAATAAGGTAAACATAAAAGTTAATTATTTAAATGTCAATATTATAAAAACATTATTTCTATATAAAATATTTAAGTTAAAATTATTATTAGGCAAATATATAAAGTTATACTTGAATAATAATTCTAAGTAATTATAAAATATAATAAAAATGTAAATAAAAATAGATATAGAATTATAATAAAAATAATATAAATAATAATGATATAAACAGCAAAACATATCATCTCCAACTAAACCCAATCAAAACCTTTAAAATTATTCAACTCCTTAAAGAGCCAATCGCTATGCAGTTCCAAATATTCCATGCAGTAAATCATGGCGCCATTGGGGCCCAATTGCAGCTCAGTCATAACTTCCTTTAGACTTATTAGTGAAGAGATATTCACGGCACATTCATACGGTAAAAAAAAGTTGGCGGGGTCCAAATTTACTATAACAACTTCTCTTTTATATAGTAAAGTATAATAATAAAAATAATAAAACTGATATAATTAATATAAAAAAAATGATATAATAAAAAATAAAAATACTTAAAAAAGTAAAAATTAAAAATTCTTCAACAGTTCAATTTTTACTTATGTCTACTAAATTTTAATATTTTAAATAAAATTATAATTATAAACGAGAATTTTTATAAAGGTATAATAAATAGTAAAACCTGCCGAGCGCGGTTAAAAAATCTTTCATTCCTCGGCAATACGTAGTTTTTCCAGAGCCGGGAGGGCCTATAACAACCTTAAAGTTATGAAAAAGTTAAAATAGGTAGATGATTTTTTTTAGTAAACTTTAAAAAGTTTTAAAAACTTAAAAAATTTTAAAATTAATTTATAAAAAAAATAAATGAATATAAGAATATGTATAATAGAGATTATAAAATAAAAAACAAATAAAAATATTAAAAATAATGATTCAGAAAAAAAAGTAAAATATGTGAAGAACATATTTATAATGATGATAGAAATAAAATATTACTAAAAAATTTTATAATTAAAAAATATTTTTTAAAGTATTATTAAAAATATTTAAACCTTCAATATATAATAACAATAATAAAATAAAATAAAATTATAAAAAGTTATTTACTTAAAAAAAAAAAGAATTAACATTAGAAAAATCTTCAAAGAAAGAAATTAAAAAATTAAAATTAATAGTCTAATTTTATTTATAAATATTATTTATGATTCAGTACCATATAAAAAATATCTTTACAACCTGAAATATTAACAAAAAAATTAATCTTTTTAATTTACTTAAACATCTTTATAAAATGTAAATCATAAAAAAATTTCTAGCAATAATTTAGAATTAGACTTTTATTAAGTAAAAAATGATATATAAATATTTCTTACTACCTAGAATATATAATAGATAGATATTATTTAATTCGATTTTTAAAAGGATTTAATAACTAAATATTCTTTTAAAAACCATGAGAAAATTTTAAATATTTTAATTACTATTATTTAATTTAAAAAATGTTTTAGTACTAGATAAATATTTCTTAAACCTAAGATATATAGAAATATCAATATAATATGAAATGTAATATTTTGTAATTAGAAATTTAGAGTAATAGTATTGATAAATTCTTACAAAATAATACTTCTTGTGTTAAAATTTTAACTTAAAACTTTTATTTTTTAATATAATTTTTTAAAGAATATAAATATCTATTCAACCTAAAATATAAAAAAATAAAAATATAGGGAATATTTATCAACTTAATTAATTATTTATTTAAACATTTTAAAAATGTTAATTTTTAAAAAATTTTATAAAAAACATTTCTATTGTAAAATTTATCCTTATAAACTTTTATTGTTTAAAAAAAAACAATATATTTTAGTAAAATATAGAAATTTATTGTTAAATCTGAAATATGTTAACACAAAAATTATAAACATAATTCAAAACTTAGAATAGTAATAAGTAAATATTTTTTTTTTGTGTACATTATGCAACTATAATTTTTATTAATTTAATTTTATTTAAATGTGTTTAAAAAACAAAAAAATTTATAGGCTAACAAAATTTTACAAAATTTTTTATATTTCGTGCTTACTATTCAATGTAATTATAAAGTAAAATTACCTGCCCAAAAGACATAATTTTTTTATATAATCAAAATAAAACTATAAGTAAGAAACTTTGAACAATACATCTATATATAAATGAAATAAATCCGCTATTCCATTTCTAATGTGGTACTCCTAAAACATTTTAATATACGCTAAAGAAACATGCGACAGAGTAAGTTTTATTGGCTAATTTCTTAAAGAAGTTTAACTTGCAGCCAATGAAAATGGAAGCTCGTTGAAGTATTTAAAGGGAAGCGGTAAATTTTAAACCCTTTAGGTACTGGTTACCAATTGTCCTTTAGGTTCAACCTGCAAGAGTTGATCTAAGGAAATTGACCCTTACGACAGGCTCCGTCTCTAATATAATCTCTGGTAAGTTTGGGCACCATGTTCTAACGGATTAGGCAGCAACCAACAAAACATAAAAAAGTGGAAATTTAGTTACTAGTGAACGAAAAAAAAAATTATTTTAAGACCCAGAGTTTTGCCCGTTAAAAGATCAATATATCCGCCTTCGTCAGTTCTTATCAAGAATTATTGCTCTATTGTTAGTATTTACCAATATTATTGTTCCAGTTAATAGTGGTTTAGAATCATCGTTAAGGGAGGTGACTCTATTATTAATTAGTTATTAGCAAACAGTAAAACCCACAGGGGGGTTATTACTGAATATTCTCTTATTTCTTCCCCTTTACTAAACGTTATTATCACAGTATAAAAAAACCTTAATGTAAGTTCTTACCTTGTAACCTTTAGTAGTTTTAGAATTTCAATTTTTTTCAGTTAACTATTGGAGGCTTAAGGAAGGTTTTTTTACTGAAACTTATTAAGTTATAAAAGTAATTACCTCTTGGTCTAATAATTAAATCTTTTAAATATTGTAATTTGCAACTATTAAAATAACTACCACGAAATAGTGTAAATTAAACGCAAGGAAACTTATTGTTTGGAAAACAAGGAGAGGAGAAGAAAAAAATAGTAATTATGAAAAGACAAGATAAATAAATAAATTTTAGTAAACACTAGTTTTATTATTAATTCTTATAGCAGTAAAAAAAGATATATGGAGAAAGTTAAAAGCAGTCACATGTAGTTTTTATAATTAGGAGTAATAAAAAATACTCTATACAGTTCTTTAATATACACAAAATTTTGTTATTCCAGTAAGAAAACTTTATTATTTAATAAATTACAAGCAGTCACATAAGACTATTTTTAATAATAATAAAAAAAAGACCCATTATAGAAGAAATGTTTTTAATTAGAGGTCTTATTCTATTTCTCAAAGCATCAAACTTTTTCAGAGAAAGTTAGGGGTACTCACATAAAATTATTTATGATAGTAATTATAGAAAAGACAACCTAGTTTTTAATACACAGAAATTTTATTATTATTTCTTATGGCAAAAAGAAAATGTTACAAGCAGTCACTTAAAGTTATTTAACAGTTAAAAAGAAAAGCTTTAGATAAAAAAATTGTTTTTAATATACACATATTATTATTTCTTATAGCAGTAAAAAAATTGTTTTGATAAAAGTTTTATTCAATCAAATGAACTATTGTTTTTAATATTAACAGAAATTTTATTAATTTTATAGCAGTAACAATATACATTTATGTTAAAAAGTTATAAATAGTTTTAAGTTTTTCCTTTTTTTTTTTTACAACCTTTTAAAAAAGGGTCAAGTAAGGCGTGCCAATTTTACTGTTCTAAGTTTCTTTCTTTGCCTCACCACGTCTACTTAGTAATAAATTTAAACCACCTAAGAAGTTTTTTATTTCTTTTTTTCTTTGATCTATGACTCCTCCGTTGCAAGAGATTTTCGTATACTTTATAAACGAAAACACAAAAGAGATAGAAAAAATTCCACTGCTGGATGAGTAAGCTGAGTTTTTATATTTTTTGTATTCTTTTAAGACATATTCCGAAGTCAAGATTACTTATTTACATAATTATTATTTACTAGGAAATGGAAGTTGGAAATAAACTTTTTTCCTTATATTCAATTAGAAAGAAGGTGTTGCAGAAACAAATGAATATAAAATTTAGGACCTTAGAATAATTTTGAATAAATATTTAAATTTTTAATTTTTATTATTGCAACTATTGTATACTACTATACTTATTTTTAATTTTTTTAAAAAAAAATTTTTAAAATATAATAATATTTTTGTTTAATGTATATTATATTAACTCTATTAATTTATTTGTAACTCGAATTAAATTTTGATATTTAATTTTTTGCAGAATTAATATTTTTATTAAGTTAATTTTAAGTATATACTTCATCTTATCTTACTGTTCTTATCATTAGCAACATTCCAGAACATTTAAAAAATGAATATTTCTCTTTTTTAATAAAAGATTTGCAATTTCTCTTGTCTCTTCCTTTTGATAAGTTTTGGTGTCAGGTGACTTTTTTTTGTAATTATATGTTATCTTTAACAGTTCTCATTTATAAATTTTCTTGCTTCGTAATTTTTCTCAAAGTAATTATTAATTTAGATAATTATATATAATTAAATAAAAAAATTACATACTATAACTTAATGATTTCAGAAATTACAATATATAAATTTACGTTAAATTTAATTATTATACTTAAAATAAAATAATAAAATAAATTTATTTTTTTAATTCATCGTTATAAAGTAAAATTTAGTTTTAAAAAAAATAGTCTATGGAAATATTATTTTAAGAAAAAGGCAATTGAATATCATGTCTAGCTTTTTTTTACTATAAATTTGTAGAATCAGCCAGATTTTGCTAGAAATTTGCTGCTTTTCTTAGTAATAGTTAGCCGCTTAGTCACCCGAGTCTAGCCTTTCTCCACATAGTAAAGTCGGCTTTAAAATCTGTGAAAGCGGTTTCCTTACATAATAAACCGTTTCTTCAAGCGGAGTACATCTAGTGTTGTTCAACTCCGAAAGTAACCACGTCAGGGGAAGCCCTCGTGAGCTTATTGCCACGTGTCCCTCCGGATTATGTTTATTTTACTTTTTTTGCTGTCATTATTTTTTAGGTTCATAACTATATTATTATTGTTGTTATTATCATGATTTAGTTTTATTTTTATTATTATTTAGTACCATTATCTTTTTTTAATATTATTATTATATAGTTTTATTATATTTTATTATAATTATTTGGTATAGTTTAATTTTTTTTAAGTATTTTTATTTAGTATATGTTATATTATTACTCTCAAATTCATTTAATATTTATTATTATTATAATTATATAGTTTAATTATTCCTATTGATTATTATATTACTTTAAATCATTTCTTATTATTATATATTTTACAGTATTTGCCTCTATTGTTATTATTATTAGTTTTATAATTTTAATTATTTTTGTTAATATTTAATTTTTTTATTCTATTTATTTATTTTAAACTATTATATATAGTATATATTTTATTTTTTGTTATTATTATTTAGTTTCATTATATTCATCTATTATTTTGTAGTTATTAAGTTTTATAAATTTATTAATATTATTATAAATATTTCTTATCATTTATTATTTTCTATTTTCATTATTTTGTCTAATATTAAATTTTTTTTTGCTATTATTATTTACATTTTTTATATTCGTTTATCATATTATTATAGTTCATTTAATATTTGTGATTATTATAAGTATTTAAGTTTTATATTTATTATATTATTATTATCTACTGTTTATATTATTTATGCTTTTTATGTTTGTATTATTTATTTATTATATTATTATTATTTACTGTTTATATTATTATTATTATTGCTTATTATGTTTATAATATTGATTCAATTATTATATTATATGTTTATATAAATATTTAGTTTAAATATTTTTTCATATTATTATCAAGTTTATTATTTATTATATTTATATTTTTGTTTAGTATATATTATTTTCGTTTGTTATGTTTACTATTGTCCAATTATTAAGTTTCTTAATATTTACTTGTTATTATTATTACAATGTTTATTTTAGTTTTTTGTTTGTTTATTAAGTTCCTACAAGATTTACTTATTATTATTTAATTTAAAATTAATATTTTACGTTATCATTATTTTTATAAATTATCAGTATATTATGTTATTTATTTATAATATTTATTTATAGTGTTTTTATTATTATTATTATTATAAATAAAACTTCTTATGCACTAGCGAGAGTTACTCTATATTTTAAGTATGAAAAGTTGTTAAAAAATTTATTTATTTATTTAATTATAAGATTTTATAATAAGATAATAGTTAACTATTTACTTTAATTTTGTTTAAATAATAAATTAATTTTTATTATTATAAAATATAAAGTGAATATTATAATTTTACAAATTTTATAGAAATTTTTACTTTAAAATATAAATAAATGTACTATGGAAAGTTATTTGAAAATATAAATTTACTATAAAATTTTATTTATTTATTTATTGAATAATAGAAAAATCAACTATTTACTTTTAAAATTCTTTAAATAATACATTAATTTTTATAATAAAATATAATAATTATATAATAAATATATAAATCATATTTAATTTTTTTTACATTAAAATGGAAATAAATATATTATTAAATGAAATGTTCCAAAAAATATTGTTTGAAATTTAAATTGTACTCAAAATATTTATTTATAAAAAAAAAAAAACTATTTACTTTTAAATTTGTTTCAATTTTTTTCATTAATAAAAAAATTTTATAGAAAATTGTTGCATATAATAATATTAATTTAAATTTATAAATTTTATTAAAGTTTTGCTTAAAAAGAAAATTAAATATATTATATAATATTAAAAGTTTTAAATAATTTTTACTTAATAATTTTACTTATCTATTGTTTGTTAATAAAAATATATTTTAATAAAAAAAATTTTATATATTTATATAAATTTCAATAAACTTTAAAGTTTTTTTTTTAATTTATACTTTTTTTTGTAGTGCAGAAAACTTTTTATTATAAAACATCGTTTGCAATATTTTATTAATATTTATTAATATAATTATTATTATTATATGATTTCTTTTTATTATTATATTTAACAATTTATTAATTTTCTCTAAAATTTATTTATTATATAAATTTTTTATATTTTTAT